GGGGGGGGGGGGAACACCGCACCAGGCTGGTGCGGGGGGCGGAAACAAGCAAGTCGAAAGCTACCGCTTGCACGCCGCCCACTACAGCATCATCAGTAGATGGCCCCCATAGGAGCAACGGGAGACGGTGGATTCAAAAGGCATGGCGGAATGGGGGTGCGGCCCTACCCACGTAGGAAGGGGTGTGGGGGGGGGCAATATGCGACCCCTATCCACGTCGGAAGGGGCGTGGGGGAGGGCGACATGCCGCCCGAACCGCGTCCGAAAGGGCGTGGGGGGAGGGGGCAACGCGCAGCGTGGCCTTGCAGCGGGCACTCACTTGACTGATTTTGATGGAATCTGTAGTTTTGAAGCGATGATGCTAAAACCTCGTTGATTGCAGCGCCAGGGGAAGGTGTTCAAGTGATTTTCACTGAGGTGTTCACATCCGCATATTCGACATTATCCCAGTAGCGGTCCAGTCAAGACCACAAGGCACGGGGCTACGTTCGTGTAGGTCGACTTGAAAATCTAGCATTGCCTCTTCCTCGGTTGCCGGACGTGGGGGCTTTCCCACGTCTTCGAAAGCGGAGAAGGCCCACCGCCCCCCCCCCCAATTTATCGACAGCACCAATTTTTCTGGGCGGACAGGCTACAGCCATGTACTTCGGTGCACACCATACTTGTACAAGCAAGCACAACACGGTAGCAAACCGTATACCCTGCGTTTTGTGTACACGAATTTATGGTTCCACTGCTAACCAAATCGGCGCACCCCGTGGAACTCAGGCGATCGCCTGGCGTATGCAACGCGTTCCTTTCTCACCGAACTGCCGTAGGCTCTGACAGCCTACACCCGCTGCCCGTTTCGTGCCGGTCGAACCTGTGCTGCATGATGAGGCAGGCGGTTATGTATCAGCATCAACACGCCCTTTGGGTTGGGGCATTGTCGGGTAGTGTTTCTGTAATTTGATGCATGTTTTCTAAAACAGATTGTTGTTTGAAAGAGTGATAAGGGGTGCTCAAATACATCTCCAATACCCCGAGAACAGCAATCACGTGGGATGACCTTCAAGGGTCACATGTCCTCAACGTTTGTGGAGGGCGATTCCCTCGCATTGGCGTCATCGTGAAACGTCTGATTTTGATGGCACCATGTACGGATTTTGGCGCTGCGCACCAGCAGACCAGCAGCCGGGGAAAGGCGGTGCTAGGTTTTCAAATCGACCTACACGAACTTACCCCGATCCTTAGACTATGGTCGGTCTTAAACTGAACAGCTACTACTAGTGGAAGAAAATCGAATGTGCGGATGTAGATACCTCAGAGAAAACACGTGAACATTTCTGCAGGTGCTGCTATACGTGTAGCAAGGTAGGGCTATTTTTAAGTTTCAGTTATCACCGATCCCCGTGAAATAATCGAAGTAATTGAATCACCCCGTTCTTGTTTTTTTGTCGCACGGCGGTGCGATGGGACAAATTTTTGTATAGGTATTTTTTTTGTACCTGTTTTGGGGTATTTTATTTTGGTTCGGTTTTGGGGACGCAGTGTTTGGCTGTAGAAATAATGAAAAGGGGAAACAAATGTACACCTGCTCGTTGGATGTTGCGGACAGCTCGTGAATCGGGTGCATGGGGAAATAGCCTCCCCGCCTGAGGCTTCTCTTGTCTGTCTAACATCCCGACACCCCTCTCCCATTATCGATGGGGACAACCGACAAGAGATTTTTCTCAAGACTGTTCTACACTTTTGCAGGAGCTTCGTGTAGGGCTGTGTTCGTATACTGGGCGCAAGAGGAGTTTTCGAAGATTTTCCTCTGGAGAGAACGCGAGTCCCAGACGTCCTAGCTCTAGGGTGCACGGCGGCCCCTTAAATTGGTGGGCGAGATGCTTACTCTGCGCTTGCCCCCCTGGTAGCCTGGAAGCGCTTCCAACTTCCAGCCAAGCACCGACAGAGATCGATGCGGCGCAACTTCGCGGTTGAACCTGCGGGATCGTCGCGTTTCTCCCTGCCATTTTCTACCTTTGTCTTACACACAGGAGTTGCACCCCCCCACAG